CCCCCGGCCGCCCCGCCGGGGCCTGCCCGCCAGGCCCCTCCGGCCCGACGCCGCCGCAGGGGGGGAGTCGACGCAGTCGCTTACACTTTCGCTCGGGAACGGGTGCAGGAAAGTCCCGGTGGCCGCCATCTCGCCATCATCCCGCGGGGTGCCCGGGGCGGTACTCAGGCCGGCCACGGCGCCGGGGGAGCTCTGGGGGTAGCCGCAGTCAGCAGAAGACTCCTGTCCTGACCCCACCACCACCGCGAGGCCCCTGCGCAGTCCGCCCCACACCCCAGCCTCGCCTGAGCGTGGCCCCTCACCTTCGGCAACCCGTCCATGTCGCCCGAGCCTGAGGATGACAGACAAGGGAACACACGGCTCATGCACCTGAGTCAGGGTCCACCAGTCCCTCCCTGAACCACGCTCCTATCCCCCCCACAGCCGCACCCAATCCCTCAACCCAGCCACTGGGGGTCCCGAAGGAGGGCCTAAAGGGATATCAGTGCTGGTAGCCAGGCGTCCCCACGGTTTAGTTACTGGACCCTCACCCAGTGCGGCCCAAGTCACTGAGTCGCCCACGAAGGCTCAGGGTGCGACCTCGATGCCCCTACAGGGAACACAGGTGGAGGGGCGGCTGGGGGGGAGGGGGCGCATCAGCGGGAGCATGAGGCTAGCAAAGCAGCCTGTGGGGGGTGGGTCAAGAGCCACCCACTCACCCAGAGATCCGTTCACTTGGTGAGAGTCCAGCGTGCTCATGGCTGCCATAGGGCCCTCCGGGCCCAATGGGAACTGTGGGCAGAGGGGGCGTGTGGGACTTTGGCCACTGCCCCACCAGAGCAGCCCCTCTCCCACAGCTCCCCACTTACATTAGCCCTGCCAGTGCCTGGCCCTATTGGATTCATGATGGTGTACATGTTCTCACTGGAGTTGGTGGAGTCTGGGGAAGATGGTGCATGAAGGTGGATATGAGAGGCCTCTCCCAAGCACACCCCTCCCCTTGCCACCCAGGCCCTAGTACCTCCAGGGCTGGGCATGATGGGTGTTCCAGGGGGCCCACCGCCTCCTGGGGGTCCCTACACACACAGGTAGACAAAACATTAGAAAGGCCCCCACCTGCTACCCTCCATCAGGTCTCCCAGCGTTGGCCCCAGGGCCCCACTTACCGTATAGCTGCCAGGGGAGGAAGCGGAATAAGGGATCTAGGGAGAGGGGCAGCTGTGAGCAGTCCAACTGTATCCACCCCCAACCCAATCCACCCCCCCACCCGACTCCCCAACTCACCGAGTTGCCACTGGGGCTGGCCCATGGGCCACGAACTCCAGGGCCCCTATTAAGAGATGGTGGGTGGACATGAGCTGGGCCAGGCAGCACACCAGCCCCCCCCTCCCCACCGCCCCATGGGCCAGGCCCCATTAGCCCAACATGTGCTGTTGGCTAATTTGTAACCACTTGGAAATCCCAACCCATCACTCATTGGCCTTTGGGCCTTAGCTTCCCCACCCAACATTCCAATAAATAATATCCCAGGCTACTGTGCTAATCCAGCCCAGGAAACTGGGTGGTGGCCCTCGTGAGCACACTCCAGGGGTCCCCTATGGCCTTACATGTTCATTGTGGGCAGGCCTGGGCCAGCAAGGGAGTTGGGTGGGGGCCGCATGCCACCTCCGTAGCTCTGTGAAGGGGGAAAGGGCCCTGAGTGCAGGCCAAGAGGGGAGAGCTCCTGAAGCCCCCTGGGTTCACCCCTTACCTGGGCCCCAATGTTGGCCATGCCCCGTGGAGGAGTCACCCTCTGCATTGGGCCCATACTGGGATGCCCTGGGGTGGGAGCAAAGAGAGGTGGTTCAGGTTGGGACACACACCTCGGGGGGTAGGAGGGGTTGTACAATGAGGCAGCCTGGATGAAGCACTTAAAGCTGGGATCCTGATGGTGAACACCAGCTGGAGCTTCTCTACTCACCCTGAGCACGTGGGGAGGGGTCCATGGTGCCAGGGAGGAGGGGCTGGGAGCCGGGGAGGCCCACAGGAGGCTACAGAGGAAGCATAGCAGCAATGAGTGTTGGAGCCCCCACCCCAGCCCAGCTCCTGCCCCCTCCCTCCAGTCTGTCTGCCCTCTGTCACCTGACTTGGCATCCGAAGAGTGGGCCGGGGACCCCCTGGGAACCTCGGTGACATGAAGGGCTGGAAGAGGTGGACCAGAGGTCAGCACGTCTCCCTACCCACTCACCCCCACAAAGCAACCTGGTTCCTGCTGTGCCCAGGTCCAAAGCCTGGCTCACCCCCTCCTCCAGGCCCAGCCAGCAAACCACAGTGGCCAGTTCCTGGTGTGTGTGAGCAGAGGAGCAGGGTGTGCATGGTCAAAGGGGCAGAGGTGTCACATGTCCTTACCTGAATGTGAGGCCCCATCATGGGGGTGTTGGGGTTGTGGGGGGGCGGCTGGGAGCCAAGGGGGCCCTAGGAGGACAGAACCAGATGGGTTGGGAAGAGCTAAGTCACCAGAAGCTCCACTGTTTCCTGAGACCCTGCTCAGTCTGGCGGAGGGAGGTGAAGTGGAGGGGACGCCATGGAGGCAGGAGGGTGGGCCACTCACCTATCTGCAGGACTGGGGATGTCCCCTACAGGAGGGGTCATGGGCCAGACCCGTGACTCAGAAAGCCATGCTCTGCGGGCCCAGGCACCCTGGCATGTACACACACAGGTCTAGTGTGCAGAGATCTCACCCTCTCCTAGCCCCACCAAGGCCCACATGTGCATCCCCACCATACCTACAACCCTCTCACCCAACTCCAGCCTGCCCACCTTGGGGTTTCTCCCAACCTGGGACGCCCACCCATCAGCACCTGCACCTGTCATTCTCTGACACGTGTACCCAGGATCAGGGGGACAAGGGCCCCAGCCCTGGCTGTACCTGGAAGAAGCCAGGTGCCATGGGACCTGCTGCCACTGCAT